TCTTCCTGTAGAGCTAGTGATCTCCGGCCTTGTTGACATTTAGCAACAAGCATTAAAAACATCCTTCTTCCCTCTCTCCCCCCCCCTCCTGCTTTGTAGCTCTTAAAGTTTGTTCCCGAGAAAGCGGACATCGACCTCTTGGAGGAACACAAGCACGAGCTGGATCGGATGGCCAAGGCGGACAGGTTCCTCTTCGAAATGAGCAGGTAATCTTTCCCCGTCCAGGGAATTCCATCCAGCCTGCAGATGCTGGAGATACTCGTTGAGTCATGTGGTGTTTCAAGCATCAGTCGCGGGGGAGGGTAAAGGAGAGACGAGTGTCTCTCACCCTGCAACGGGAAAATGATTGCTTGAAGTCAGAATCAGAGCTTAGACCAGGCCGGAGAGGTTGCTTAAGGCAGCTGGAAGGGATGAATCGTGCAAAGATTGGTTCTGCTCATAAAATGTAAAGTGCAAGCTAGCGCAGCCTCAATTTGTCTTGTGATCATGCAGGGAAGGGAGAAGAAGCTTAACCCTTCAACTTCGACTCTGCTATTGAAAGCGTGCTACTTGCTTCCCCCCCCCCCCCCAATATTTTAAAGTGGGAAATGTGGTTTCTTTAAAAATAATTAAGTGTCTTTCTCTTTTCCTTTAAAATGCTAACAGCAGAACAGGGGAAGCCAGAGTCAGAGGCTGAAACTGAGTGAAGATTAAGGTTAAATCCCTTCTCCCTTCACTGCACAGCTCCAAGGCAAATTGAGGCTACACATTTGATGGGTTGCACTAAACGCTTGGTCTTTGGTCTGCTTGATCAGGGTCAGAGGCTGGAAGCAGCAGAGCGGCAGAGAGGGTCTTGAGGAAGGGGCAACTCATTGCAATGGCCTGGGTCAGCATGGCTGGGTGTCTGCCAGAGATACTTGGCCTGTCTGTTCTGGCCAGGAATGAGACTCTCCCCACATGCCCCAACAATATTAAAATGCAGAGAGCGGCAGGCACATGGAATGGTATGATCCCAAGTTTGGATTACTGGTTAAGTGCGCGGACTCTAATCTGGGAGAACTGGGTTTGATTCCCCACTCCTCCGCTTGCACCTGGCTGGATGACCTTAGGCAAGCCATAGTTCTGATAAGAGCTGTTCTTGAAAAAGAGCAGTTTCTGTCAAGAGTTCTCTCAGCCCCACCTACCTCACAGGGTGTCTGTTGTGGGGAGGGGAAGGGAAAGGAGTTTGTAAGCCGCTCTGAGACATCTTTGGGTAGTGAAGGGCGGGGTATAAATCCAATCTCTTCTCCTCTTCTTCTCTTCTTAAGGCTTTTGAAGGGGCATCACATGGATAACCTTGCTGAAGCCAAGCAGGTTGGGGTTTGGTTAGTGCTTGGATAGGAGACCTTCCAAGAGCCGGTTTGGTGTAGTGGTTAAGAGCGCAGACTCTAATCTGGGAGAACCGGGTTTGATTCCCCACTCCTCCACTTGCACCTGCTGATGTGACCTTGGGTCAGTCACAAGCTCTGGCACAGCTGTCCTTGAAAAAGAGCAGTTTGTGTCAGAGTTCTCTCAGCCCCACCCACCTCACGGGGTGTCTGTTGTGGGGAGGGGAAGGGAAAGGAGTTTGTAAGCCGCTCTGAGACTCCAAGTGAAAGGCGGGGTATAAATCGAATCTCTTCTTCTTCTCTTCTTCCTTCATAAGCAGCTGCTGGTGTGACCTTGGGTCAGTCACAAGTTCTTTCAGAGCCGTTCTCTCAAGGGCAGTTCTCAGGAGAGCTCTCTCAGCCCCACCTACCTCACGGGGTGTCGGTTGTGGGGAGGGGAAGGGAAAGGAGTTTGTGAGCCGCTCTGAGACTCCTTTGGGTAGTGAAGGGCGGGGTATAAATCCAGTCCTTCTTCTTCCGAGCTGTACACTGCCTCGGGTGTCACGATGGAAGCAAAGAGGGTGATACGTGTGATAGGGTCAAGTCTTCCTGTCAAAACGTTTCACTAGTTCCCAACTCGATGTTGTTCTCCCGCTTTCTTGAAGGATAAACCATTACCAACAAAGGCTCCAGTCCTTGTATTTTAAAAAGAAGTTTGCCGAGCGGGTTGCGGAAGTCAAACCCAAAGTGGAAGGTAGGTTTTGTTTTATTGCTCAAACTTGCTAATGCTAAAGCCAGACGAGATTCTCTTTTTCCACTTCGCCTCTCTCTTTCTCTTAAAGGTTTTTAATCAGTGGGGAGGTATGGGGCATCGTCCCTGGATATAGTCTGGATGAGGGCATAAATGTGTAATGTTTGGTGAGCCAGAGAGCCAGTTTGGTGTAGTGGTTAGGAATCCCGACTCTAATCTTGGAGAACCAGGTTTGATTCCCCGCATGCAGCTGCTGGTGTGACCTTGGGTCAGTCACAAGTTCTCTCAGAGCTGTTCTCTCAAGGGCAGTCCTCGAAAGAGCTCTCTCAGCCCCACCTGTCTTACAACTAACCCTAGCTCACAGTTTTTTAGCCTCCGGCTCCAGAGCAAACTAATTTAATGCAGTAGCCAAATCGCTCGCTCAGAACTTTAATGCCAGTAGCTCACAAAGTAGAATTTTTGCTCACAAGACTCCACAGCTTAGAGAGAACATTGCTCACAGGGTGTCTGTTGTGGGGAGGGGGAGGGAAAGGATATTGTAAGTCGCTCTGAGACTCTGAGTGAAGGGTGGGGGTATAAATCCAATCTCTTCCTCTTCTTCCAATGAAAGGTCCTGTTATTAGATATGCAGTGGCAGAAGGCATAGATTTAGGGCCAAACTGCAGGTTACCTTTTACTCAAGTTCACCATGGGGACTCGCAGCCGTATTGCATCTGTGAGTTCCTGGCGTGGACTGCATTTAGAAGCGCTTGCACCACTGAGGGTGGAGAAGAACAAAGCCAGGTGAACGCTAGATAGCATCTCCCAGCAGGTGGTTTGCATAATAGCATTTTGAGTCGACTCATTTTATAAAACAGTAGGAGCAGTCCTTCTGGGCCGCAGGAATTTCAGCAGCCGCACCCAGTCACACCTCCTGGCACGCAGTTAGGGAGGTAAATGTGGTCTGTTAGCCTGTTCTGTGCCATCTCTTTTGTTTTTCTCTCTCTCAGTTTGGTGTCGTGGTTAGGAGCGTGGACTCTAATCTGGGAGAACCAGGTTTGCTTCCCCACTCCTCCACATGCAGCTGCTGGTGTGACCTTGGGTCAGTGACAAGTTCTCTCAGAGCAGTTCTCTCAAGGGTAGTTCTCGAGAGAGCTCTCTCAGCCCCACCTACCTCAAAGGGTGTCTGTTGTGGGGAGGGGGAGGGAAAGGAGATTGTAAGCCGCTCTGAGGCTCCTTCGGGTAGTGAAGGGCGGGGTATAAACCCAGTCTCTTCTCTCTCCTCCTCCTCCTCCCGCTTCTTCTTCTTCTCTCTTCCCTTCCCTTTGTTTCGCTTTCTCCCTGCAATTTACATCCCAGCAGGCCCTGCGTGCTGACACGTAGCTTTGAGAGTTTGGTTTGGGCACAGAAACGATCGGGTCGTAACACCACTTTAAACCCATGCCATCGACCGGGTCGTGTTTTCTGACTGTGTTTCTTTCTCTTTTTTCTCTCTCCCTTGCCCGTCACAGCCATCCGTGCAGCATCCAAGGAAGTGTTCCACAGCAAGAGCCTGAAGCAGCTCTTGGAGGTGGTGCTGGCCTTTGGCAACTACATGAACAAAGGCCAGAGAGGGAACGCCTACGGCTTTAAAATCTCAAGTCTGAACAAGATCGCGGACACAAAATCCAGCATCGACAAGTAAGCAGTTCCTGCCTCTGCGGGCACTTCCAGGAGGCAAAGAGAGGCTCAAGAACATCCCTCTTTTTTGCTTTCTGCTGGGGGTGGGGTGAAAAACACCCGATGGCCCGGAGCCAGCTTCGGTCGTGGGTCCGGGTCTGTCCGAGGCTGACCCCTCCTCAGATGAGGAAGAGGCAGGGAACAACCCCGAGGAAGAACCCTTAGCAGTACCTGAGGAGGAGGAGTCCCCAGCAGCAGCACAAGAGGTGCAGCCAGAAGAAGAGACCATTCCTGGGCCAGGGCCAGTGACCCCGAGGCCAGACTCCCCAAGGCCTAGTTCCTCTGAGTGCCCCAGACGTAGGGCACGCCAGAGGCTGACTTTGCAGGAACGAAGGAGAAGCGCCAGGCTGCAGCTCCAGCCACGTCAACGACAGGAGTTCTAAGCCTCTGCAGACTCCACTCCAAAGGGAGGGAGGATCTGTTTAAAACCCCTTGCTGCACCTACCTGCTCCAGCACGTCAACAGCTCTGCAAAATCAGACCTGCTTCTGAGCAATGCTCCTTCTAAGCTGTGGAGTCCTGTGAGCAAAAATTCTACTTTGTTAGCTACTGGCATGAAAGTTGTGAGCAAGCGATTTGGCTACTGCATATATTAGTTTGCTCTGGGGCGCCCTCCTTCCTGAGCTAAGAGAAAAATGTGTGAGCCGGAGGCTAAAAAACTGTGAGCTAGCTCACACTAACTCAGCTTAGAGGGAACACTGCTTCTGAGTGTGCAGCAGTCGCTCCTGGCCTTTGCAAACCTGCATTCTTGAAACGACTTCACGGCTATCGGACCTTTGGCTTTTTTTCACTGACCTCGATTCCGGCTCGTGTCTTCAGGTTCTAGCTTATCGCCTCGGTGGCTACCAGCCAAGTCAGCACAGCTTCCCTTAAGGACTCCCTGTTCCCATATGAACCTGTCCATCCATTCTAAGATTCTTCCGCATTCGAATTTTCCTTGCTTGTATGTTCCTGCTGCTTTGCGGAATTTTTCCTGCTTGGCCTGTATTTCGCTCCCTCTAGTGGTCAGTTCGATATTACGTTGCTGACATGATTGAGGTTTATAAGATTATGCATGGGAAAGAGCAGGTAGAGAAAGAGGTACTTTTCTCCCTTTCTCACAATACAAGAACTCGTGGGCACTCCATGAAATTGCTGAGCGGTCGGGTTAGAACGGATAAAAGGAAGTACTTCTTCACCCAAAGAGTGATTAACACTTGGAATTCACTGCCACAGGAAGTGGTGGCGGCTACAGGCATGGACGGCTTCAAAAGGGAATTAGATAAGCATATGGAGCAGAGGTCCATCAGTGGCTATCAGCCACAAGGTATAGATAGGGGCTCTGGGGCAAGTGATGCTCTGTCATCTGGGGCAAGTGATGTTTGGGGCAAGTGAGCAGAGGTCCATCAGTGGCTATTAGCCACAAGGTATAGATAGGGACTCTGGGGCAAGTGATGCTCTGTCTTCTTGGTGCTTGGGGGGGTCAGCAGTGGGAGGGCTTCTAATGTCCTGGCCCCACTGGTGGACCTCCTGATGGCACTGGTATTTCTGCCCACTGTGTGATACAGAGTGTTGGACTGGATGGGCCTTTGGCCTGATCCAACTTTGGCATCTCTTATGTTCTTATGTATGTCTGGCATAGAAACTTGCAGTTTAAATCGGCAGGGGGATATGCTGGACATAAAGTGATGCAATATCGAATCGACCACTAGAGGGAGCGAAATACATGTGGAACAGAAAAAAACCTGCTCAAGTAACAGGAAGACACGCACGAGGAAAATGAAAATATTGGGGAGGGGGAGCCCTGGTCATCTTTGGTGGCCATGCCTCGGGTGCCCCCGCCCTCTAAGATTAGATGAGTGGCAAACAGAGAGAGAGCCTTCTCGGTCATGGTGCTGGAACTCCCTCGCCAGGGAGATCTGTCTGTTTTCCTCTATTGTTGCCTTCCGCCAGTGGGTAAGGACTTTTCTTTAAAAGGCTTTAGTCTTTTAAGGTGCTACAGGAACTCCTGCTCTTTTCTACTGTTTTGCTTGGCATACTCCCAATAACCGCTATTGGCTCTCTCCCCTGGTTTTGGTGATATGTACATTTTTTTAAAAAAAATCAATGCAAGAGATTGCCTAGGAATAACAAACGATATTAAAAATACAGAAACTGAAGACATTAGAAGACAAATTAAAAAATCTGTAAGGAAATTTGATGTTACAAGCAATGTTCCCTCTAAGCTGCGGAGTCTCGTGAGCAAAAATTCTCCTCTGTGAGCTCCTGGCATTCAAGTTGTGAGTGAGCGATTTGGCTACTGCATAAATTAGTCTGCTCTGGAGCCCTCCTTCCTAAGCTATGGCAAAAATGTGTGAGCCGGAGGCTAAAAAACTGTGAGCTAGCTCACACTAACTCAGCTTAGAGGGAACACTGGTTACAAGTACGTCTATTAGGGCGCGCAGGGTATGTTCGACGCTCCATTTAGGAATTGCCCTCTCCCAATGCAACTGCCGAAATATTTTTATCAACTGACAGTCCCAAAACTAAGAAGAGCTTTTACTTTGGCAAGACGGAACATTCTTCCCTCGGCAGTTTTGGAGGGCAGATATAATAAAGTATCATACTCTAATACGCCAGTTTGGTGTAGTGGTTAAGTGCGTGGACTCTAATCGGCGAGAACCGGGTTTGATTCCCCACTCCTCCACTTGCAGCTGCTGATGTGACCTTGGGTCAGTCACAAGCTTTGGCACAGCTGTCCTTGAAAAAGAGCAGTTTGTGTCAGAGTTCTCTCAGCCCCACCCACCTCACAGGGTGTCTGTTGTGGGGAGGGGAAAGGAGTTTGTAAGCCGCTCTGAGACTCCAAGTGAAGGGCGGGGTATAAATCCAATCTCTTCTTCTTCTTCTTCTTCTTCTAATAGAACACGCAGATGCTCATATCTTACAATCGAAACCATTGAACATATGATCATGGCGTGCCCTAGATTTGATGAGTTGAGAGCTAATTTAGTCACCCCTTTACTTAAGGATATGGAAATGCTAAATGTGCGAACCCAGGTGTCATGGCTAGTATCAGATACCAATGATCATGTCACCCTCTCAGTACCAATATTCGTAGGTGCAATAATCAAATATAAGAGAAATAATACTAAGGTCTTTTAAAATATTTTCTTTGGTTCTGATTTCTGCTTAAGGTGATAGCCATATGAGCAGTACTAAATGGCTTCCGAGATCTGATGGGATCGGGCTCGCCTGGGCTCTCCGTGGGCACTGTGTGACACAGAGTGTTGGGCTGGATGGGCCATTGGCCTGATCCAACATGGCTTCTCTCATGTTCTTAAAGCTAAGAGCTTTCCATCCCTCATTTAGAATGCCAACCCCAGTCGCTATCGAGAGTGGTGCCATGTTGGAAAAACTGCCTGACTTCCTTACTCAGTTGGGCTCTCCTTTATAAACTTGCCCTATAAAAACTTGCCCTATGAACAATCTGCCCGTGCGAAAGACCTACCGTTGCACCTTCGGTCGGAGGGTTTCCTGTTTCTGTTGCTTCTTTTTTAACGTCGCAAGATCCATGAATTGCCGCTAACGACACCAATATTTTCTCATTTTAACTGTTTTTAACTATTACTGCTTACATAACTTCTTTTAATTGTTGGATGTGTTCTGTTGTTGTTCCCTCCCCTGAGTTCGCTTGCAGGAAGTTGAGCAAATAATAAATAAATAAAATCAATACTCCAGTTCACAAGAGGCCAGTTCTCCAAAGACCGAGCTATTGTACGTTTTTCTCCAATCGTGTGCAATAGGCTTAGCGGTGCAGCCAATCACTTTCATCCGTGGTAACTGTTTGGAAAGCAGTTGTTTTATTCGAAACACTTACCTGTGACTGCAAACGTGCGTTTTTCCTATTCAGATGCAAAACAAAAAAACCCCTAATATTCTTTGCAGGATCAGTGGCTGCATAACAATCTCTGTCTCGTCACAGGAACATTACTCTATTGCACTATCTCATCACCATCGTAGAAAAGAAATACCCCAAAGTTCTCAACCTACATGAAGAACTGAAGGACGTCCCAGAGGCTGCCAAAGTCCAGTAAGTTGGGGGGGGGGGGTTAATTGTATCCTACCTTTCAATAAACCATTAGAGGCAGATGACAAGAAGATTGGAAAACAGCAATAAATGTATTGGGCTGTATATTAGCCATGTCACCCTTTGATGCAAGAACGTTCTGCCATGTGTGTTGGGCAGGAGCATGTGTGATCACGGCAACAAGCTGTGTTCCTGCCCACTATGCGGATGGAGGTGTGTTCTGTCCAGGGGTCATTTTGTAGAAAAAGAGGTGCAGGAGCTAATTAGCATAACTCATTAGCATAATATTTGCATATGCCACACCCCCTGACATAACTGGAAGTGTGTCAGATGGCAACACCCACCGCTCAGGCTCCACTGGACTGTTTTGGATTGCTAGCTGCT